CCCCAAAACCCCAAAACCCCAAAACCCCAAAACCCCAAAAATTTATTAATTTTTTACTTAAAGATGTACTCAAAAACGAAAATACCAGAATGGAATGGCAATAAGACTACCGAGAAAGAAGATCAATATTGAGAGAAAGGTCCTGAAGACACTATTTCTAAAATACAGTTCTCAAATGTCACAAGACTTGAAGAAAATCCAAGATTTATCTCTTGCTCATCATGGGATAATATGATAAAAGTCTGGGAATTAGACAAGAGTTATTTGAAAATCGATATCAAACATGTAGGAGAAACCTCAATGGATGCTCCAGTCTTAAGTCATTGCTGGGACCCAGAGAATGCAGTTCTATTTGGTGCATGAGCAGATAACAAAGTCAAAATGTGGGATGTGGGTAAAGATACAATAACCCAAGTCGCAGAACATGATTATTGCGCAAATAATGTTTTCTACTGATTCGAGAATAACATCCTAATTACAACAGGGTGGGATGGCCACATTAAATTCTGGGATTTGAAAGATAACAAGCCAGTGTTTGATATAGATTTGTCTCCTCTGAAAATTTGGACTGCATCATATCAATACCCATGACTGGTTGGTTGCCTAAGTGATAACACAATTTTTGCTTATCATATGGATCATATAACAAAATAAGAACCAAAGCAAACCAGACTTAGAAACTGATAGTCCCCTCAAGTTTCAAACTAGATCAGTTGAAGCTTTCCCAGACGGAGATGGATACATAGTGACATCAATTGAAGGAAGATGAGGAGTCAAGAATATTGATTGGAATTACATCAGTCGCAAGCAATCTGAAGATTTTAACTTCAAATGTCACAGAAAGAATTAACACAGCCAATGATGTATACCCAGTCCACCAGGTCTCATTCAACTACAAGTTCAAGACATTTGCAACATGAGGAGGAGATGGTACCTATACAATATGGGACAAGGATAAAAGGAAAAGACTCAAAATTAGTGGAGGATGTGACTCCCCTATTACAGCTGTCAAAATGAGCCCAAATGGAGGCATGCTAGCCTACGGTTTTGGATATGACTGGTCTAAAGGCTGTGTAGGAGCAGGATCATACGGAGTCGGAATGTTCATTCATCCAACAATGGAAAAAGAAATCAAGAGCTCAAGTTAATAAAAATTCTTCTCAAAAATGACTAAGCTTATGGGGTTTTGGGGTTTTGGGGTTTTGGGGTTTTGGGGTTTTGGGG